GCAAAAGTTAAATAAGAACAACAACTTTAAGTGAGAAATTAAAAATAGAAAAATCACAGCAACAAATAAAATTCAAACATTCTTACATGCTTTGCATTGGAAATAGAATACTTAATCATGTTTGTATGTTTAAAAATGTCAATGCACAAAATTTTAATTGAATTGGCAACGTTCTACCTATGTATTGTATGTATATTAATAATAAAGAATAAAAGTACCGATTAATTTTAAGTAAAATTAATAGTTGTTATTTATTCTTTATCATCTGTTTATTTCCCTCAAAGTTGATTGAGTGCAACAAACATAACACATATCTTAATTTTGTCCAATCACCATATAACTCTTTATGACACATTTCGATAAGGCCTTTAGATTTCTTCCACACATTCAATTAAATAGCTTCAATCAATTTGAAATAAGTTATCAAGCAACATCACATGGATTGGAAAATTTTTAGAGATATAATTTTTACCTTCATTATTTCCGCTCCCGAAATTGCGTCATTTAACATTTTGGGCCAATATCTCTTGTATTCTGTTTGACCCTGTTTAGCTATTTTAACTGTAGGAGACCCCCATTTCGTATTGCTGAGCACCGTTCCAACATGATGCAACTTGAGAGATAATCTCTATCTTCTATAACGTGACCTGCCCATCTTAGCAGTTAATATTTTCTCAGGACATTGCAAGCATTGAACGTTACCGTATTCGACTTTAACCCACTGACGCTCCTCTTTTGAAAATAAATTAAATACTTTCTATTTCAATATAATGATATTATAATGTCATTATATTGAATAGCTGTCTTATGTAGCTACTAAAACTCTACTTAGCGCCTTTCAAATGATTACAATTCGTATTCATTTGTCGTGCTAAGATCCATGGTACGCTTAGCTATAGAAAAAATAAAAAGATTAAACTGCGGGTTGAGAATATTTTCATGTTTTTATGTAAGAAGTTCAAAATGTTTTGATGCGAACATGATATAGCATTCATACTCAAGTGATTTTGAGTGGGAAACTGCATCGGGAAACTGTGAAACTACTTAGATCGAAATCAACCGATGAATAAATAGACATTTGATAGACAGTAATTTTTGTTTTCGTAGCTTTAGCTTTGGAATAAAAGATATCGCATTTAGGTATAATGTACACCGCTTGAAACAAAACGTATTGCAACAAATCTCTTGCAAAAAATATTTATTAATTTTTTAAGAAAATATGTACGTCTGGGTGTCACTATTATTATTATTATTTATATTGTTGTTATTATTCATAGTTGATTATATTTGTAGTATTTAAATTTCTTTTTCAGTTAGATTAATGTAATAATTAATATATAAACTACATATTTAAACTAAATATTAAATTATTTTTTAAAATAAACTAAATAAAAGTATGAATTCAGTTGATCGCTGGAATGACATTATTTCTGTACGGTATTGCATTTTTAGGGAAACCGATTATTTTAACCCATTTATTTATTATTAAAAATATTTACGATGTTTTACTCGCTACGAACTATCTTTCTAAAGTATAAATTTCTGTGCTCTTTTAAGACAGAACACTTACTCAAGCAACGTCCTCCATTCTCAATTTCTCCCATATATTACACATCGAACATACGCCTGTCTCTTCTTCATTATCCACGTAATTTTACTGGCACTGAAATTAGGATTGTTTAAATATAAACATATATTTACCATCCAGAAATGTATGTAAATTAAAAAAATTGACAAAAAGTTAGTACTTTACAACTAATGAAATTGTATAATATAATTTTATACAGGCATATATTGTTGGCTATGGTGAGGTGTCACAATAACCTATTTCTCTTATTACAGGAGAGAACGAGAACATTGACAACGAATCATATCTTTGACGACTTCTCTGTCTTTCTGAAATATCAGCTCAACAGCGTATATTACTGGTCCACACATTTTTCTAATATTTCTAGTATTTGATTTGAATGTGCAATTCAAGCAATTTTTTGTTGCTTCGTTTCAGACTACTTTTGACATTATGGTTCTTATTGGTGTTTTACTTCAACTATTAAGCAATTAACTCATTTTCTTCTTAACTGAATACTAGGTCCATATATTAACATACTTTGACGAAAGCATTCACATAGTACGCTATAAAAAATCTTTTGGAATTAAGTTAAAAATGTCACTTCACAGATTTAATTTTTTACAACTATGTGGGTGTATGTGTAAAAAATGCAATACTCATGCTTGACATTGACAGACGGATATTATAATTAAAGGCAGAAATATTTTAACTACGTCAAAGGACTGAGCGGATGCACGTATGCACAGCGCAACTTTACAGGATGTGGAAATTGCGTGATGTGGTGCTCTTTTTCTTTCAATGCACATACATATGAATTGCCATCAAGTTAAAAAGTATGTATTGTAAAAAACTATATTATTAAATTTATTTATATATAATTCGTTTTAAATTTATATAAAATGAATGAATTTTATTTCATTAGCACATATTCGCATAGCAAACAAGGCATACTTTAGTGATAGTGAAAATTATTTGTTGACTTAAGGCCATGAAGTCATTAACGAGAACTCAAGAAGCTTAAAATCGATTGTTCTCTTTGGAAGCTTTAAATTACTGGACGTGTAGAGTATACAAGTAATTTTCTTTCCCTACGCCAAAGACTGTACACATAATATTAAATTTAAAAAACACTATTTAATTAAAATGTATTATGTTAACATACCTTATGCTCAAAAAGTACCCGGATTTTGTAAATAAAACACACAAATTTAAATTTTATTCCAAATTTATTTTATCTGCTTCAAAATATGCTCCTGAAGCGATACACATATGTCAATGTTTAACCCAATCTTCCATACACTTTTCGTAGGCCCTTGAAGGTGTGGCTTTTAGTTCCTTTGGCGAATTCTCTTTTACCGATTCAATCGACTCAAAACGCTTACCACGAAGGGGCAATTTGAATTTCGGGAACAGGAAAAAGTCGCACGCCGCTAGATCTGGCGAATATGGTGCCTGAGCGATGACAGTGGTGCCGTGTTTGGTCAAAAAATCGCGTACAACAAGAATTTTCCATAGTAAAAATCGCTTAATTGCACTTGAGGTAGTCTCACATTAACAGTTGCTGTAAACAAACTAATTGACAGATGGCGCTTAAATTTATACCATATGTCAAGAATGGGTGTACCAACATACCAAAAGAAAATGTCTGAAAAAGGTCTATTACTTAAGGAGTACATAGTTAACAAACAACAAAATCCGGATACTTTTTGAGCAGAAGGTACTATGTGTTCAATTATTAGCTTAAAAATAAGATACTTTTATCTTAAGGATTCTATATTAAATTTTGTAAACATATAACCAAATTAATCAACAAAAATCGATACATTTGGATTAAATCAATATCTGCGATGAGTTTGAATATTACTTTCTGATACACAAGATTTACAATGACAAATTCGATTTCATCAACACAAGCTCATTTTTCTTAAATTCTGAAGTCAAAAACAGTACCAACTGCATTTACTTTAAACAAAGTGCATACGTTATTGTCCAATGAAAATTTAAAGTCAAAGTTTGCTTTTAATTCACTTAACATGCTTACAATCTACGCGAATTTACTTATCAATACACTTACGGACAGATATTGCAGCACAGTCACCATAGTATAGATATACTCGTACTCAAAAAGGTCGGAAACAAAAACAATTTTTAAGCGCAACTTCGTTGAAAATCCCAAAAGTCTGCATGTTTCAGCTACCACAGAAATTTGTCAACACAAAAGATACAAGATACATATGCATCAGGATTTGCATTTTCATGCTGAAATGCATGCATGCAAACACGAGAGGATTGTGCTGCTCTACGCATATGTTGATGAGTTTGTGATGCGCTAAACTTTTGCCGCAAAGCTGTTTGCTTAATTTTTGAGATGGCAACAAAATTTTTACGTTGAGCATTTGCCAGGTCAGAGTGCAAATCAAACACACTTATGGCTACCAAAACACACTCTTACTTACTGACATACTTACTTATTCACACTCGTATACACACCTGAGAACGTAACACGATGCTTGAATATTTTTTGTTAACACACATCGGTGAGATGTGAACCTTTTCAGAAATTAAATTGCAATGAAACCAAAACACTTTCACGAGACTGAACGATAGGATTTTGTGTGTACAGAAATGCATACTTCACCAAATCAGCCAGCAAAAGCCTACTGTTTTACTATTCCTAAAGTTAGAATGGAGTCATGATGGAATACAACCTATATAGAACTTTTGTATTGTAATGTTACTGTTGTATAGAGAAGCGCTTGGTATTAGCATCTAAGGAGTTATAAGGACTTTATGTGCTAAGCAGAATTCTTAAAATGTTAACACTCTAGGCTTGTAAAGCTTTTTCTTATTTGCAAGAAAATATTAATTAAAGGTTTGATAACTGGCATGTACAAGTTGACTAGAGTAAGATAAAAGTAAATCGGATTTACCAATTAAAGAGACTGGAGAGTACTTGGTTAGTGATTAGCTAAATTTAAAATAGAAGAAGGTTATTACTTGTAAGCATCGTTGTCTACTAATACTGCTACATATGTCTTTAAATTTAATATCGTGTATTTTGAGTTTTATTAAAATATATTTAGACATTGTTTACTTTGTAGCAAGTTCAAAGAGATTCTTCTATTATGCATTTTTATGAAAATTTCTAAACAGCTCAATGTGCTCTATGTGTTCCACATCCTGTGAGCGGTCGCATATCAGCATTTACCAAGAGTATTATTAGCAACATCATTATTACTACCATCATCACCATAAACGTTAACCTTATCGCTATTGTTACTGTTGTAGTTACTGTCACCATGATGATCAACAAGACCGTCGGCAACAGCTTTTCACGCAGTAAAATCGTGTGGCTCGTCAAGTATTCCATGGTTTTCGTGCTACAAATGGTGTCTGCACTTTGCTGCACTTTGGCAGTTCTCAATAGAATATGCAACTAAAAATCGTATCCACCGCCACAACAACGCTAACAACATATGTCACAATATCAGCTTCAATGTTGGGAACTACTGAAGTTACAACAGCGACCGTTTTTAGTTCCAATGCCACATTTTGTGGTGCTTTAGTAAAATTGCGTCCTGCCGGTATGTGTGCCACTTCGTTGCTTGCATTTGTAAATTTGTCGCCAGAAGCATTTTCTATGAATTGTTCGCGCTCTTATAAATATGAGCTCATGTTTGTTTGCTTATTTTAAACTAATTAAATATTTACTCACATTTTACAGCTACTAAATTTATTGTATTCCATTTTAATTTTCTGCAAATAAGCTCAATGAAAATTTATTGATTTTAGCTGTTTATTTTGCATTTCACATTTAATTTGCAGCAAATCCATGGTTTGTTACACAATCATTCCCCACATAATACGATAGATTGATTGTCATTTTAAGTGCCTGTTTAAATGGATTCGGATCTATAATTTAAGCCTATTTTTTTGAGCTTTCATGTTACCCGCATAAGTGTAATTATAATAAAATACATATTTTCCAGAAATTTCTCTAGTACGAAACTGATGAGTTTAAATAAATGCCAATTTGAGGTGCAAATTTATAATTACAAGAACGGTTTAAATCAATATAATTTGAATACGAAATTTTAATTTTGCTTACACGATATTTGGGCTATAAAACATTAAATACTTAGTGATTTGATTTCACTAATAAATTTTTTTTTTGATTTTTCAGACGTAACTGATAGACTTATCTCTTGTTTTCAGTTGTTATCTGTCATAAAAAAAATATATAGGTGCTGCATATAAAAACTGTTAAATTTTAGTTTAACCCAGTTGTGCCTCATTGCACAATTTGTACATTCACTTAATATCCTACTTCAATTTGACTATATGCACATGAATTTAACTTTTTGTACACATTCTCTATACCTTTAATATTGAAAACATCGCCATGTTTACCAAATTCTGATTGAAACCTCACCCAACTCTCCACCAATATTAATATGTCATGTGTAAAAACATTTATTTGGCTATATCTTGACTGTAAAACTCAGACATTTCTCTTTAATCCCGCTACTATTTCTTCCGGTAGTACATATATCAAATGAAGTATAGATGGCTTAGCAAATTACCTTGCTTATCCTTTGTTTTGATCGGAGAAGTATTTAATATTTGCCTAGTTATTTTGACGATTTCGTCTCCATTATAGCAAATTGAGTAAATTGCTTGGTAAAGTGACACTTGTAGTAACCACTATCTTCTATCATCGCTGGTTTTCATAAATTCAGATGTAAAATTATGATGTTTGAGTGGCACATTCATTTCTTATCTACTTCTGAGTTTTATTTTGTTCTTATTCCTATTTAATTATAGTAAATATTCGACTAGCCCATAGTCTTTTTATTTTTATTTTGTTATGTTATTTTAGTGATGGATTTAATCGAAAATATTAATTTTTAAATATCAAATATTGTTTAAAATTATTTTAAACTATATGTTAAGATTTTATTTTTTATGAAAGTAAATTATCTTATAAAAATGGTTCAACTACAAAATTCTGCACACGACTCTTAATTTTCGGTCAGTGCATTTGAGATAAACCTAAACAATGAAAGATCAATGAAAGATTAACCATTTGCACAATTTTGATAATCTATTCGGTCGAACTTCCATCAATTAATCGCTATTAAATTCGATGAAATCGATGTATTTTAGTAAGTAAGTTCACTTATTATTAACTGATATAAAAACACTTTAAGTCAAAAATCGATAAAGCTCCAATTAATATGACAAAACAGGAACCGATGAAAAAAAATGTCTGATACTTTATTATAAACCGATATAATCGATTTTAAACTACTACTGGCTGCTAAAAAATATATATTAATAAATATGGTTAACAGTTATTTTGGTTAAACTACAAAAAAGAAGTACTACTTACCCTATGCTATCATGAATCGAAAGCATAGGAAAAGACTAAAATCGTTGCTAACAACTTTTTTGAAATTTTCAATCATTGAAGTCAAAAGGCGTGAATGGCTGCATGATTTACTGAGGCGGTACAACGTGACTGCTATTCGTTTCAGTTTCAACAATTGCAGAAAATGTGTGATTAATTTTTAAAAAGCAAACGCTGGTCTAGCTTAAAAATATTTTGTTTTCAAAGTTTTAAAAGGTGTTAAATAATTAAAATAAATGACATTTTTTTTATATATTGAATATAACAACAAAAAGGATCACTAAGTAACGACAACAACATGCACCTTCCAAACTCAGTTCTAGAACGTTGTAATCATTGATATTAATTAGAAATGATTTCAATAAAGACTAAGTAATTTAATTATATTTCAAAAACAAGTAAACTTCATAAAATATTTTATGCCATATACATACATAGTTTACAGCAAATAATGAAATGGCCCCTTTTCAAATTGCAAAGCACTTAATATTATCTCAAATAGTACAACTATATATAATGTAAAAATCGCAAGCAAATATATTCTCTCAAATGTTTTAAGGAATCGCAACACATTTTTTTGTTTGGTTTTATTCTAATATACAACATGAATATTAAACAAATTTCTCAAGGATATATAGTTCTGTTTTCAGTGACGACGAAAGCATAATTTGATTGTAATATAACCTATTCATTATTACCTAATTAAGTCTTATTCATGATTCATATAAATTAACAGTGATTTTTGTTCAGAACAACAAATTAATAAAAAGCTTCAAGGACCAAAGAATTATAATTGAAACAACAACTTTTGCTCTCCTTGAACTGCAAGGTTAATGCAAGTTACTATTTTAAAAGTATTGAGCACTCATTATAATAAAAATTGTTAATTATAATTGTAAATTTAACCTCATCACGCAAATTATTTCATACGCTACTTATAATTGATCACTTAAATTTCTGAAATTGTAAAATTTCTATTTGTGTCAACATATAAGAGTTTATATTTGCGCTAATTTTTTTTAACATTACTTAGTGTAATAATTATTACATTTAATATATAATATATAATGTAAATTATAACTGCTATTGTATTTAGCACATATACGTAACATTTGCAATTACCACAGGTTGCAGTATGCATTTTACATAACACAAAATAGTTCAATAATTTATTTAAAGCTATTAAAGTGTTAACTTTTGTAAACGATGAAGTAATTTTAACTAATTAACACTAGCAAGTGCGTTGTAATATTTAAGGACATTTATTTAGAAACAACTACAAATGTGTCCTGGAGTAAATTTTAAACGTGCATGTTCTTCGTGAAATCGCTATTAAATGTTATTATTTTGCAATTAATGTGTTGGTAATCATCATAATAACCATTTGCGCTGTCATACATGTTAATGTTACACAAGGAATAGAATATTCCAATACCAAAAGGGCAACACTGATTACCACTAATGAGATTATTAGTTGCAATGCTCCACAAGCAAATGGTTAGGCAATATTGAATTGTAACAACGATTATTAGACAAATAAAAAAATTACTTATACTTAAACTCTATGTCAATAATAATGTAATAAAACAGTGCATAACATTATTACACTTTATGGTAAAATTAATCCATTTCAGTACTACAACATTACTAACATTTTTCAGTTTTCCTATAACTAATATCTATACTAATTTTAGCTATTAGAAAACCTTATAAAACTATGCGTGCAACTAAAACTACAAGTACATCGCACAATGGCAATGGAAGTGCATAATAATAAAAACTTTACAAAAGCAATGAAATTAATTACCGTTTTCATAGTCTTTATCTTAATTTTAATCAAACTTAAAGCTGCGAATTCCAACGAAATAGAAGTTTTTGCAGATTTTTTAGGTTTCAATAAACTGCGACATGCCATTATTGTGCAGGATACCCAGAGTGAATCTCTCAATCATTCAACATTGCAAGCAACGCTAGGCGATTTTGAGGCATTGCTCGAGAATGTTCGTACAACAGTCTTTAACATTGCAAACAGCAAAGCTGATCAGTTTAAGGACATTTTCTATGCAGCTTCACCTAGGTTGGGCATCCTTTTGCCGCATTTCGAGAATATTGTTGTACAGAAGCACATATTGCCCGAAGCTGCAGCTGTTGACTTATTTAATAATTCACAGGCTTGGCTCATTATGGCTCAGTATGCCAACGACAATGTCTGGACGCTTATTAAAGGGACATTCAATAAATTAAACATAAATATTAATGCGGACATAACACTTGCAATCAGTTGCAGAAAGTAAGTACGTATGTAGTTCGTTAGAAATTTAAATTAAGTTTTTGCTAGAAATTTGTGTTAAGTTACGAAGGTTATATATATTAATGCGATGAACTTAATCAACATTAAATTAGAAAACTTGAATGTGTTTTATAATAAATAAGTAGTTCGAATTCTAAAATTCATTTCCTTTATAACTGTTAAACAAAATCTGACATGTGGTTTTAAAATTTTTTAGTTTCAAGTTAAAAGTTTTTAAAGATTTCTTTAAACATTTTTTAAAACTCTTATCATTTTAATTAAATCCACAAAAGTACCAATAAGTAACAAAAAAAAATTAACTATTAAATTAATATAAATACAAACACTAATTTTGTGCTCAGAATTTTAAAAAGAAGTTAAATAAATTTTTTTTGGATTTATGTGTCAAAGAAAGCAAATACAAAACCATTTAAAGGCTAATTCAAAAAATTTTAAACATATTTTCAATGTCATGCAGCCAATTTCAGTTTTGGTTCATTATTTACAATGACCCACAATTGGGTTACTTAATATTGCAAAACTTACAATTCGATATTGTTTTAATAAAAGACAGTTAAAACAACATTAGTACCTTACTAATATAATTTAATTGATCAACTTCTTTTTACAAAAAGTTTGAATCTAAAACACTTGCCATATCGAATATCAGAATAGTTACATACTTCACTTGGAGGTATGCAGATCTGAGGTCAATTATTGCTTAGTCTGATGAAGTGATAAACAATAATCCAGTCAAGGCATAGAGAGGAGTTTAGAAGAAACCTCGCAGTTAATAGAGAGTAATAGTGCTCAAGTGCACTGACTCAACTAGCTTTAACATAATTAGTTAATCAAAAATAGTTGGTGCTGTTGGAGAATTTAAGAATTTTGTAAATGCAAGTTTTTGTGTTCCTCGCAATGAAAGCCTCAACGTTCATAATATATGGCACTCATATGAAAATTGTATTAAGCAGCTTTTGCCACCGCTTCTTATACAAATTAAATTATATATGGGGTTTATTATGATTATAAAAAATTTATTTTTTGTTTTTATTTCAAATATCGTTTAATATATGATCTTTGTATCAAATTCTAATGACCTATAAGAATTATGAGTCATACATTGCACATAAGTTATCAATATTTTCAATGACTTTAAAATTAACTTTAAGTAATTTCTTTAATTAATAATATGAATAAGTAAAGATGTTGTTAGCTACGGTTTAACTTAAAATTTTGAATCGAAATTTACATCTCATTTATATTATATATGTAATAAATATATAATACATATATAATATACATTAGAAAATAAAAAACGATTTCATTACATTATATATACGTATAAAAATACACAAATCATCATATTCAATGACGACTATCACGCATATATTAGTGGAGGCTTAAAGAACACTTCATAAAGAAATACAGTGCTACAGTCGATAATTAATAACCAACAAAAAACTATTTAAGAAAACATACATGAAACTTATATTCTAATTCTAGGCAGTTTAATTTACATAAACCACTAAACCACCATTAAGAATAATAAACACAAACAGTTGTCAAGAAAATATTTTATTATTATTGTTATTAAAACAAAACACTCCTTAACAAATTTTATTAATATTTTATAGTAACATATATCGCTTATACGATGTATACAAAATTTGTCACAAATGTGGATCGCCACTAAATATACTGGAGAAGGGTTACTGGTCCAAAGAAAATGGTTTCATACTTCATGCGGAGTTTAAAAAAAGTTTTGTAAGAAGGCGCAGAAACATACAACCGATAATAAAAGTTGGTAGTCTGGTAAGATTATAATAAATCTGTAAGTTAATACCTGAACAACTCACATAATCATCATTGTTTCTTTGAATAAAAGTTGTAAAATAATATGAAAGCAGCTAAAAAATCAACCTCTGATTATTATATTAACTTCTTAATACATTTTACTCAATCTATTGATATTCATTAGGATATTTTAAACCTAACGCTTAAGTATCAAGTTACAAAATGCATGCATTTATTTATCTAGAATTATGCTTCATGAATAAATAGAAAGTACAAGTTGGCTGTATTTAAAGTTTTTCTACAAATTTGTACATAAGCACATATAGTATACATATGGTGAAAAAAGAGTACAGAATTATAAAAAATGTGTATGAAAATACTGCGTTTTGTAGATGTGACCCTTTTCTGTTCCCCAAAACCAAAACTGAGACAGCAACAAACTCGTTTAAAGCCGACTGCATACATTGAAAAACTTTTGGAGTTTAAAGTCATATATCAAACAGTTGACAAAAATTGTCCGAAAAATGGACTCAAGCGCTAGCAAAGTTATACATTGTGACCGAAAAGTTTTCGGAAATTCTCATTTAAAATTCGCGCGCTGTATATTTTTCGATATTTTAAGTTTATGTAGTTTGGCAGCACTGTCCTTAATTACTATGCCAAAAATGAGCGCGATCTGTCAGACAGTTCGTTTACGGCAGCTGTTGAAACCAGTTCACCTCAGTAGTGCGTTGCGAAAAAAACAATGGAAAAAAATATTGATCAAAGAGTTTGCATCAAATTTTGTGTTTCGAACGAATTTTCGTGTGCAGAATCGTTGCGAATGCTACAAAAGGCTTATGGGGAATCAGTTTTATCGAAAACTCAAGTTTATGAGTGGTACAAAGCCTTTCAGGACTGTCGTACGACCGTCGAAGACATGCCGCGTTCTGGACGACCTTCGACCTCTACCACCGACGAAAACATTGAAAAGGCAAAGGAAATCGTGTTCAAAAATCCTCATGTGAGTGTTAGAGAGATAGCACGAGAGCTAGGCATCGGTCGTGAGATGGCTCGTTTGATTTTGGTGGACAATTTGTGTATGCGACGTGTCAACGCTCGGCTTTTTCCGATTCACCTCAATTTGTTCCAAAAACACCATCGTGGACAGGTCTCGTTAGACATGCTTGATCGTGCCAATTCCGATCCAACTTTCATGGAACGCATCATAACGGGTGACGAGACATGGGTCTACGAGTACGACATGCAAACAAGCCAACAATCATCGGAATGGAGAGGAAAAGACGAGCCGAAACCGAAAAAACCACGCCAAAGTCGCTCGAAAATCAAGGCAATGCTGATTGTTTTCTTCGATATTCGTGGTGTGGTGCATCATGAATTCGTCCCTGAAGGACAAACAGTCAATAAAGCCTATTATTTGACTGTTTTAAGACGTTTGCGTGAAAATATCCGCCGTAAACGGCCTCAATTGTGGAAGGATAATTCATGGATTTTTCATGACGATAATGCTCCCTCGCACCGAGCCAACATTATCAACGATTTTAAGGCCAAACATTCAATAAATACCATCGAACAGCCCCCGTATTCACCTGATCTTGCACCGTGTGACTTTTTCCTGTTTCCCAAACTCAAATTACCACTCAGAGGAACGCGTTTTGAATCCATAGAAGACGTAAAACAGAATTCGCAGAGGAAACTCAAAGCCATACCGGAAAGCGCCTATAAAAAATGTTTTGATGATTGGAAGAAACGTTGGCATTTGTGTATCGCTTCTAATGGAGCATATTTTGAAGGAGATAAAATAAATATTGATGAAGATTAAGAATTTTGCGTTTTATTTAAAATTTCCGGAAACTTTTCGGTCACAATGTATTACCGTTGCGTTGCATGCAACTTAATAAATTTTTATTGTCAATTTCTTTGTGTTTTATGTGATAATTTGAGATACTTTGTATTCTTAATGTAACAGAGGTATTTGCCGCTTAATGCTGTTTTCTATAACAACTATCATATCAAAAAGACTAATATCAAGTATTAATAGAATAACAAATATTTATTTCTTTACACTGAAATATATTGAAGATAAGAGAAAAGTCTATCAATGTCACAAATTTGGAGTATATATCAGATACGGAATATCATAAAGAACATGATACCATGCAGAGAAAAATATTTGCTTTAATGAAAATGGTCGAACCAATGCTTAATACGAGGTAAGTAAGTATATTACTGCAAGTTTTCAGCTAAACTGCATTTAAATAATGAATTCTTTCGTCCATAATTATAAAAAAAATTACTTAAATCACTGGCGGAAAAAAAATTAGTTCTTATATTCAATATATATATTTATATTCCAATAATATTCATTTAAATCTCTTAAGATTTTATTGAACTTAAATATTTAATAAATACATTTATTCAATAAATTCATCTCTACTTTCAAACAAGCTTTGACGTACTGTTTACTGACACTTGGGGAGCCAACGTCAATGGAAGCTGGGATGGTGTTATAGGTCAACTTGTACGTAATGAAATCGAATTTTCCGTTTGTCCAATACGTTTTACATCTGAACGCACTCTGTTCATAACCTATTCCCCCGAGTTACATATCGAATAGTAAGTCAATTTAACAGAAGACCTTGAACTGTTTAAAATTGCCCCCTTTTTCTATTTAAATTTCTATTTCAATTTATAATGCAGCGTAAATTTTATATTTCGTCATCCACGTCGGAATGTAATACGCAATATATTTTTCGAACCCCTAGCTGATGAAGTGTGGTGGAGTGTTTTAGCAGTAACCGGGTTAATGATACTCTTGTTGGCGATATTTGTACATTATGAATATAAGCGACGACCGCAGCAACAACTAAAACATGGCAACAACTCATTACAATGTCAACCACAAACGCAGCAACACCAACACCAACAACAACATCACAAACAGCAACAACTCGAAGTGAAGTCAAATGCAAGCATTCATGTTGACATACCTATTGAAAAGCGCTTGGATTTCATAATATTTATCGTACTGGAGGCAATTTTTATGCAAGGTCCCGCGCCGGCCATCTTCCACTTGATATCGACACGCACACTAATTATAACTACATGCATATTCAGCGTTATGCTACTGCAGTTCTATAGTGCCTTTATCGTGGGCTCATTACTAGCTACGCTGCCACATAGCATCACGACAGTGGAGGCACTCTACAACAGCAGCCTGGATATTGGCATGGAGGACGTTGTTTACAATTATGAACTTTTCGCTAATATAAGGAGCCCAATCGCACATGAAATTTATGCGAATCGTATTTCCAAGCATTCCAAAGGCAATATAGTGACGTTGGAGAGAGGCGTAGAGCGCATTGGGCGTGGTGGATTTGCATTTTATGTGGGAACGAATCGTGCATATCGAATTTTGAAATGTAAGTAAAATGGAGTAAGTTTCGTTTATTCGCTGTGCAGCGGATATGAACAAAGATAAATCTGCAATTTGTTTAGCTTAGTCGAACTGCAAACAAATGCATTTCTGTGCGAGTGGCATTTATGAGAGTGTTGCAATTAATAACAGTGGAAAATGTTAATTAAATTTAAGGTCAAGCAGCTTAAATTCTAATGTATACAACCAATAAAGATATTAGCCATCCAAGCAATGAACGGAAAATTCACTTAATCCTCAAATATTTGTGACTGCGTATGCATAAATGTAAATAAGAATAATTGATTTGACTGACCGCATATTTTCCGTTGAGTGTGTGGTCAACTAGAGAAATTGCATTGTGGTGGAGTTATGAAACTAAGTTTGGCATTAAGCACCAGAACACCACCACATTTTAACATAACGCTTAAAATCTTCAACTTTGATTATTATCCCTGTATATATATGTTTATTGTTGAACTACCACAATATAGTGGTTGACGATTTGAATTCATTGGCAGATATTCATCGTATAATACGATGATAGAACCTGAACCTATTTGCCAAACTAAAATGCTTTCACTTTAATGACAGCTTTATGCAGTACGTGAGAACATTAGTTAGGCTTCGTAAATGATCGAATAATGTTTACAATTAGTTCCTTGTATTATAACGAAGAGTGGCATATTCTTTACACTCCAGATAAAAATTTTCCTCTTCTTGCTAAAAATATCATAAATTTTCTTTTAAAAAAGACTTAATATTTTTAGTATGCCAAACAATGTAGCTCATATTAATTTGTCAAAATACATGATTTTTAATAAGAAATGAACGTCAATTTTTTATGCATAACTTAATGATGTTAATTCAGCTATTCCAGATACTATGAAAATAAATATTTAGCCTAAGCAAGCAAAGTTCTAAAAACAAAGGAATTCAATATAATAAATTCATATAAAAAATGTTTCTGATTATATTTATTTAAATATGTTTTCTATACTATACCAAAATAATAATCTTATTTTAACATTAGGAGCAGTGCAGGGTAGATATGCGCATAGACATTAAGGTTCTTAACAGTTTTAATTAGAGATATGGTTGACTAAAATTTTCGCCTATCGCTATAAGTTCATTCTATCGGTGATATAGTTTCCAATTAGGTCTCATGTCCTATTGCCTCAACACTATTGCGAAATCTTTTTGATTCTCTGGTTGGGTTGCAGAAAATGTTCATAACAAATTTATACATTGTTACGATTTTCTGTAAGAATTAAGTATCTTAAAAACTATGCACCTAAAAATTTTTGAAAATCTGATTTATTTTATATAATAATATATATTTATTTACCCTACCTTTGCTGGTGAAAAGACTATAAACAATAATTATACATTTTTTTAATATATAGTTAATTTTTTTTCCAGAAATTTTTGTTAATTCTATTAAAGAAATATATTTCGCTGTCAGTTTATATCAAACAACAACTTCTATTATGAAATTTTACCCACAATATAGTATAATTTAACAACTTTTCTTTATGATATGAATACCTTTATTGTACTGTATTACATAAGAACTTAAGAAATGTTAAAAAAATACACATTAATTACGCAAACTTTTTAAAAAAAAATATTTTTACCCTCTTATATATTACCAATAAAATTATTTTTAATTTTTTAGCTACTCTGAACGATGCAGAATTTTGTGAATTACAAGAAATTCAACTTAGCGCTCCATATCTCACATCGTCTGCTTTGAGAAAAAATTCCATATATCGTGAACATTTGGCGAATTGCATTTTAACGTTTCGTACTTCTGGACTAATGAGATATAATGAAATTTTGTGGGAAATTCGAAAAACCGATTGCAATTTAGAACAGAACAAGGATTTTGAAGTTGATATTGAGCACTTCACACCACTTTTAATTTTCTTAGGAATGGCAATGCTGCAAAGTGTCATTGTGCTTCTAATAGAGATGCTTTGGTTTCGTCGAAAAAAGATGAAATCTCTTATAATAGGAAACACATAAAAGAGAAAATTTTTTAAGTGTTAAATAATTGAAAATAACTACAAATAGTAGCAATTTTTAAAGATGTGACACATAAAACACATTAATTATCACAATTAGTTCAGATGTATTGAATTGTTTTCTATGTTTTATATGTTGTACAGGGTTCCTTGTTTTAATTGAAAACAAAGTGGAATATATGTACATATTAAATATAAATATTTAAAAAATAGAAAAGTGTGTCACAAATATACTAAAGCTTTTATTTAAATAGAAAGAACTGCTTGAAATCAACTGAAATTTAGTTGATATTAAATCTCTATTTAGTAAGACAAAGTACATAAATTTTTTCAAATAATTGCATATTTTATCTTAAAAACTTATTTAAAAAATATTAGAAAAATCACAAAATATTGAGGAAAGGAACGAATACAATATCAATAGTACAAAAATTTTTCATATTATTTTCTCATAATTTGTAGATAAAAAAAAAAAAAAATAAATAAACTATTAAGTAAAAGAATAGAATAAAAATCACAGAGCTCAATACACAAATATGCAGAATAAAAGAAAATATATAAATTAAAACGGTTAAAATAGAAGAAAGGTAGTACAAATTAATAAAAGATAAACAAAAGTGGAAATCAACTTTTGAATTTTAAGTTCGATAATTGAGCAATGCAGAGCTGAATGAGAAATTATGGAAAACAAACAGAAATCGGATAAATTGTGGTTAAAAAATAATATTTGTCTTTGGTGATTCACTGCAGAGTATTAGAAATTTAAAAAACGGTACTAGTTGGGAAGTCTGCAATCAAAAAGGAGTAATTTTATCAAATGTATAAAAGAAGAATTAATAAAAAAATATGACAACAATTTTTTGTATGATTGCATTCGAGTATATTATATATAACCGGAAAGAAAAAAGAGATGCACCAATCAAATATATTACGTTTCGCAATTTTTTTGTAGATATTTCAATTTAATTAATCTTAAAAATAAACATTACTAACTAAATTGAAGGATAAGTTCATATTTTTTAAAATAATATATTTAAAATCATTTTTCAAGTAATAAATAAAAAATAAAAATGGCGAGAAGAATAAAATGCGATCGCAATTTGTATTTAAATAGTAAGTATAAATTTTAATAGTGTTTCAATATTTTTAACACAATTATTAAAACTTCCATAAAAAAATAAGCCACATTAAATGAGTTTGAAATTTAAATTTGGGAAACCTAGGCAAACAGATGATAATGGATACAAAAGAAAAGAAAGTTATAATTAATTTGTGTCAAAGATTTTAAGGAACTCGCTTAAGGAATATTTAATATTATTTAAATTAATTTAAAACAAGTTATGTTTGTCCTCAAATATAAGTCCTTTATTTGATTAGCTCAAAAAACTCATTTTAAACAAGCAGATGAAAAAAGACACAAGCAAACCATATGATTTACGAGTACTAGTACTGAAAGATACAATTCAATCAATATAATTTAAAATTTTAAAAGCAACACAATGCCATAACTGCCAGCAATATGGTCATGTGGCTACTAACTGCAAATCAACTCCAAAGTGCGTCAGGTGCGAAGAAGAACACCACCACCGGTCATGCAACAAACCAAAAAACGCCGAGCCAGTATGCACAAATTGCAAAGGCAACCATCCGGCAAACTATGGGGGCTGTCCTTTCAACCCACGAAACTCCAAACCATCTCCCAAATCCAAAGCTCAGAAAACTGAAGACAATGCTCAACCGATAATAAGCAATAGCACCAAAGTCTTCCCAACGAAGACATACGCAGAAATTGTTTCCTCCACCAACAGCCTACCCAAAATCTCGCAACAAAACTTCCCAGGTACGCATTTAGAACAACTTTTCACGATCATGCAGCAAAATCTTAGCACCATGATGAAAAACATGATGCAATCCATGTTGCAGACACTCTTACCCACCGCCAACCTAATATGACGCTACATCAAAATAACCTAAAAGTCATAACCTGGAACGCCAACTCCTTAATAGGGAAAAAATCGGAAGTAACACAATTTTTGCATGACAATGAAATAGACATAATGATGATACAGGAAACATTTCTTAAAGCTTCTAGCTCACTCAAATTCCCAAACTACTCTTTATACAGAACAGATAGAAACGGCAGAAGGGGCGGTGGCACGGCAATCTTAGTAAAAACAACTATTAAACATCACCTCATAACAAAAGAACCGGGATCGATTGAGTCTACTACAATTAAAGTAGAAGCATTCGGCTCATATATAACATTCACATCAGCTTACAGAACACCAAATAATGCTATATTTCTAAATGACTTAACTCGCCTTCTGTCCAGCAATGAGCCCACTTTTCTAGCGGGGGATCTAAACGCTTATAACAGGAGCTGGGGTGATAGCGGAACAAACTCGGCTGGGCGTACTATCAACAACTTAGTACATGACCATTTGCTCCAGACCCACATTCCGAGCGAGCCGACTCATTTCGGCAGTGGTGCGGGTCACATACTAGATATTGGCATCTCCAATAACTTGGACTACAATGTACACATTGAAGTTATTGATGAGTTAGACTCAGACCACAAACCGGTGTTATTTGTCCTACAGAACTGCCATGCTACCATCTTTACTCCATCAATAACTATCACCAACTGGGCAAATTTTAAGGATTCCTTAAGGCTGGTGGACTTCAACGATCAAATTGAGACCACAGAGGACCTAGACACCAGCATAGAAATTCTTACAAGTAAAATTCTAGAGTCTCTCGAAGCATGTTCCTCACTCAGGACCAGGAATCCTAAAAATTACTTTCTTCTTCCAAGGCATATTAAAGAAATTATAAGGCGCAGAAACCGTTTCCGAAGATGGGCTCATGCAACAGGTGACCCACAAATCAGGCGTGAAGCGAACCGTCTATCCAACTTAGTCAAAACTATGATATCTTCGCATAATAACAAAAAATGGGAAGAATTCATGGGCAGCCTTGAACCCGGGAATAAAAGTTTTTGGGGCCTAAACAAGTATTTTAGAGTCAAGAACAAAATCATGACTCCTCCAATACTTGGTGCTGGAGGGCTAAAATTTACAGACTATGAGAAAGCTGAAGAATTCGCCCACTCCTTGGAACTCCAATTCCAAGTGAACTGTGACGAAGATGATGACATTGATTATGAGGAAAATGTTGTTGAGCAGGCCAATAGGATCCTGAACTCTAGCAACTCTTCTACTACCCCTTCCACTAATCACTGTGAAATAGCATTAATAATAAGTAATCTCAACAAACGATCTGCCCCGGGTTATGATGGTATCGGCAACATCTGTCTTCAAAACCTTCCAGAAAACGTCCTCATCAAAGTAGCGGAAATAACCAATGCAATTCTTAAATTTGGGTACTTCCCTATTTGTTGGAAAAAAGCGAAGGTCATTATGCTTCCTAAACCAAACAAAGACCTGAAGTTCCCACAGAATTGGCGTCCCATCAGCTTGCTTCCTACTCTGGGGAAAGTAGCAGAAAGAGTCATTCTGGCAAAATTGAAAGACCACCTAAGCTCGAATAATATTATCCCTGATGAGCAATTTGGCTTCAGAGACAACCACTCAACGGAACTACAATTGGCCAAAATAGCACAACATATACAATCTGCACTTAGAAGTAGGATGTCGACTGGTCTTATCTCTTTTGATGTCGCTAAAGCCTTTGAGAAAGTCTGGCACTCGGGCCTAATTGTGAAAATGGCTGCTCAGAACTTTCCACCATCTGTCATCAAGCTCATAGGCAGTTTCTTAAATGAAAGGTCGTTCCAAGTCAAAGTAAACAATTCCACCTCTTCAGTAAAATCGATACAGGCTGGAGTACCACAGGGGTCACCGTTATCTCCACTGCTCTATAGCCTGTTCACTGCAGACATACCGAAACTCGAGCCTTCTATGCTATCGCTCTATGCTGACGACACTTGTATTGTGTACTCAGACAAAATAGCCTGCAATGTCTCCAATACCATACAGAGTCACATTGACGTGCTTGTTCAGTATTTTAAAAAGTGGAAAATAAAACTGAACGCAGAAAAGACTCGGGCAATTTTTATTACCAGGAAGCGCCGCCAAGCTCCCAGAAAATTAAAGGTAGAAGAACAAGAAATAGAATGGGCCGATACTCTCAAATACCTAGGCATAACCTTTGATAACAAGCACTCCTGGAAAGCACATTTCAAGTCCAAACGAGCTCAAGCTGCCCGAATATTACACTCCCTTCACCCGCTCATCAGCAGCAAAAAGCTCAACATAAAGAATAGAGTTAGCATATTTAAGCAAATTATTAAACCAGGACTACTATATGGCAGTATAGCGTTTTGCCAAGCGCCAAGCTCAACTTTAAAAATTCTTCAAAGAGGGCAAAATATTGCCTTAAGAAAACTGGTCAACGCCCCATGGTATGTAAGAGGAGCTGATATCCACAGAGATCTGAGAGTAGATTCAGTTGAAAAATACATTAAAGATCGTGCTCTGAAACTGTTCAATACAATTGACAGTCACAATAATCCAACTCTCAGTATCCTAAAAATACAGCGAAATTTGATAAACACAGGCAGGTACAAAGATATCAGATCCATCATATTATAAAGCCCCGTAAAGCCCCGTATTTAGTGTGACTTAAAACTGTCCACAGATAAAATAGAGTAAAGGTGCTGATTCACCAACTCAGACATCTGAATATCAATATCAAAAATTTTAATACTTATTTGGTTTAAAAATTATAAATATTATAAATTCAGAAGAAATGTTTAGGTAATTAGTTTGGTGTGTTAATATAAATTTTAACCTCTTTAGAGATTGTTTCTGAATTCGTTTACCAAAAGGACTGTAAACCTGAATAATTGTCACACTACTTTCACCAAAAACCTCCTTTTTCTTAGCCTCATGAACAACAGATTTTTTTTGCTAAACATCCTCTATTGGACATGAATAGTATAATCTTAACTATGTGATAATTTATTACTATTGCTGAAGA